GCTCTTCCCAGGACCCCCGGGAATGGACCAGGAAAGTGATCAGGAACATCGCGTGCTCGGGCAAGTTCTCCAGCGACAGGACCATCACAGAGTATGCCCAGGAGATCTGGGGTGTGGAGCCGTCAAGGGAACCAATACCCCTCCCCGACCTGCCCCGGGAGTGAGCGGCGGGCAGGCCCGAGCGAAGGGCTCCCGGCCGGAGCGGCCTCTCTGCCCTTCTCGGAGAGAAAGGAGGCCTTTCAGGGGAAGGGGAAGGGAGGACGGCATTCCCAGGAGGAGCCTTGGCCGCCAGGAGGAATGGGAGCAGGGCCGTAGGCTAAAGCACTTGCATTAACCCCCCTGTACCCAGCCCGCATGTGCTGCCTAGCGCTTCTAGGGAGCCCAGGGCTCCACGTCTTGGTGAGCTGTGCCCCGTGCTTGGTGAGAGCGCTCCCCTGGCCTTCTCCTCGCCCGCCAGCAGCTTTGGCCCTTCCCCGCCAGCAGATTTAGGCAAGGGACAGTGTCCTGCACCCACCTCTGAGCAGGAGGTGCCAGCCCTGGGGCTGGGGAGAAGGGCGCGAGGGTGGCTCCCTCTTGCACCCCCAGCATGAACAGGGCTGCTCACCGTGGTAATGCAAAGCAGGGGCAATACTTGACTGAAAAATAGTACCCCCAAGGGCGTTTGAGCATTGAGGTGCCGCAGCGCAGCAGCAACTCACGCACTGGCCCAGCTCCATGGCGAGAGCCCGGTGAACTCACTGTCTACTCACCCCGGGCATTGGTCCTCGAGCCAGCATGGCCCCTTCAAAAGGTACCTGGCACATTTCCTCCTCCCACAGCTAGTCACCTAGTTAGGTTGTTTAAAAAATTAATTAAAAGCCCAGTGGCCAAACCACCCTGGGTTTTTATTGTTTGTTTGTTGGTTTTAGCAGCCATAGGCACATGCAGTGGGTGGGCTGGTGCTGCTCGTCATGCACCTTCCCCCTGTAGGTGACCCTGTGAGATCCTCACCCAGGTGCAGTGACCAAGCCTCACTTCCCCACCCCAGGGCCGCGTTTAACACGTCTAGTGCTCTGTAGTGCACCCATGCACCTCTGTGTGATGGCAACTCATTAAAACAACTACTCCGGCCTTGCTTTGGTCTCCTGCTGTGTCCCCTGCGCCAGCTTCGTGGGGGACAGGGTCCTGCCCCGGCTCATGGGGTGAACAGGCCCCCCCAGACAATCTCAGGCAAGGCAAAAGTGAAGCCATGGTGAGCAGCAGTCAATGCTTTTTATTAAAACTACACCACTTTCTGTAAAGATAAACATTTCAGGTTCATTTTCCAAGCACATCACCAGCCGGCTAAGCGGAACGGCCGTGCCAGGCTCACCCGGGCCCTGTCCCGCCGCAGGGCCGGGGCTGGCAGCAGCCTCAGCTGCCCCGCGCCGCCACGGCAGCGTTTCTGTTCCGTCAGTGCAATAAATATAAGTGCATCAAACATAATTTAAGTGGCACGGTTAGCTTGTAAGTATCGGGGGTCAGAAACCTCAGGGATAACCACGCTACAGCAGAAGAATCTCAGTACGAGAACAAGCTACTACCTGCTTTGCAACTCTAACCTGGCGCATGCTGAGCGGCTTCTACGACGCTGCACAACCCTGCGCTAGCGCCCGGCCCCTCGAGGCGGCCCAAGTTGCTGTGAGCCCCAGCAACTAAAGCTGCAGCCCCTGGTGCTGCCCGGACAGACGGACGAGGGGCTGAGGGTCAAGTGCCCAGCTGGACACTGAGGAGCCGGCACCCGGGCCCTCTCCCGTCTCTGCGCAGAGCTCACCGGTGGCGCAAAACGGGGGGTCCCCAGGGCCGCTCGCTGCAGACGGGGGCTCTCGTCCGCGGCCGCCTCCCGGTCGCTGCACTCCAACACACAGCAGCAAGACGGTCTCTCGAGACGCAAGAACTGCACTCCCTGGCCTGCTTTTAGCTACAAGCAAATAGCATAGCCACTAGGAACAGGAAAATCTGTCAAAATGGATTAAAAGGCAAAGTTCTTTTTTTAAAAAAAATAAATAAAGAGGAAAAAATAAAAGGCCCTTTCCCAGTCCAAGGAAGCCCGTCACCGTCTGCGCATGTGCAGGGAGAATGGAAGACAACTGGTCTGGACATTTGTGGAGAGGGGAGATGAGGCAGAAAGCAGTGCCCCACTCTCTGCCTTGAATGCCCAAGTTTACAATTTGTCTACAAAAAAAAAAAATCACTTCGGTCCAAATCAAGAAGTGTATGTGAAGAAGGAGTTTCCTAAAGGACAATGAGGGATGGGAACAGGAATGTTCAGAAAGAAACACGTCCAGAAAAGGTAAAAGAGGGCTAATATTTTCCATTAAATATATGTTTGAAATGAAGGGGAGAAAAAAAAAGAAAAAAAAACCTTTTATTTCCAAATGTGTGCAATTAGCTCCACACTCATTGAAGAGCCAAATAAAAACCCTGCTCACTACTCAGATCTTCAGCATGTCGCGATTACAGCCACTTAGCAAAAAGGAAAGGCTAAACACATATTTCCTAGGAAGAATAAGCACGACAGCTGTGGCATGGAGACATGGAAAAAGCCATTTGTCTGCAGGAAATGAGTCCGTGTGATCCCAAAACAGCAGCAGCATTTAAAGGTGAAAAACACCCTTGGTCCTGACACGCATGTCCTAGGAATGTCTGTCCTCAGCAGCACCATGCCACACTGACAAGGCTCTGTTGTGCTCACTTTTTTGTTTGTTTGTTTGTTTGTTTGTTTTCCCTTGTTTGGTACCAGCTCCTGGGTTGTTTTTACTCCTCCATTTCTATCAAAGCCTGCAACTTCTTTCTTCTACCACCATGGACGCTGGGAGTTGGGGTTGCCAAAAGGTGCGGGCCAGGGCCAGAGCAGGATCCCTGGCCTCCTTCGTGCCAAGGGATGGAAAAACGGCAGACCAAGCCACAGGCAGGAGGGGAAAGAAAAGGAGGGAGAGGGAAGGGAAAGAAAGGAAAAAATCAATGCTGCCAAGCAGCTGGTCTTCAGGGCTGATGCTCGTGTTCAGATTTTCCCAGGAATTCCCTGGAAAGGGAAGGACACAGCAGTGACTCTCAAGGTCTGAGCACTCACAGCTACAGGCAAATAAAAGGTTTGAGGGTTTCCCTTTGCAAAGGCACTTCCCAAACGCCGGCCCCCACCCTGTGCTGGCAGAGACCCTGTGCCCAGGGCCTTACCGCAGTATTCGAGGTAGCTCTGGGCTCCTGTAGATGTACTTGTGCCGGTAGCCGAGCTCTGTGTGGAAGGGGACGAACTGCACCTTGTAGTCTCGGAAACTCCGCGATGTCGCAGCGATGTTGTAAAGCTGAGGCCAGGCGCAAAGAGGCAGGGGAAGGGCACACATCACTCCAAAGCCAGCGAACTCCCCACAGCCAGCTCCCTCCTTACAAGTGGCTTACGAGCCCTGGCTTGACCAGGCTTGTTGGCTCAAGCTCAATTTCACTATGATTTCCCACTCCCAGCACCACAGAATTTGCACCCGTTTGAGCCACACACCTCTGTGCACGTCCTCCCACCGCAGTCTTTTTCCCCGGCTTTCTGCAACACGCCAGGGATGCTGTTCTCACCACACCCATCCCTTCCGCCACATCAGTTCGGTCACATACCTTTTTTCCCAGATGAAATGGTACCACGGGGTCATCCTCAGCATGAAGGATGAGCAGGGAGCAGGAAATGTATTTCACACTGTCAAACAGAAGAAAATGTTGCCACAGCGCAGAAGAACCATTCCGTCAGACCTCGCAAAGCAGCGCACTGGGGTTAGCTTTCCGGAGCGAGAAATGCACAGCTGGCCTATGTCAATCGGCTGCGTGTGAGTGACTTTAACCGTGGGACTTAACTAGAAGGAATTGTTATTTAGGAAAGCCTCAAATTCCTCCCCTTCCCTGACTAACCTACAACCCCTGCCTGCTTCCCAACCGTGTATAAGCGCTGCTGAGTGACACCGAGCGCTGAGCTCAGGCAGTCAGCCGCGGGCATCCTGGATGCCTTTTCCTCCCTTCCCAAAATTACCTCTGCGACAGACATCTCTGTACCAGCGTCAAATCTAGCTGAAAGAAACAGCATGCAAACAACTGCAAGGTTTCAGAACAGCTAGGAAGAGTAGGCTGGCCCTCATTGAGCTCCTAGGACCCTAACACAGCTACAGCTGGATTTTCAAAGAAACTGCAGCGACAACCTCCTTGCAGGTCATTCACTGCAGTTTAGATCTCAAATGCTATTTCCTGGGCACAGTTATCTCAATCTACAAAAAGTCAATGAGCGAAGAGCATCCTTGGAAGAACTCTTTGCTTTTCAGACAAGGGAAAAGGGGCTCACCCCACTGTAGAGCAAGGTCACCAAACCTCTTGCTTGATTTTGGTACAGGAAGCCAAACTCCGAAGTGCTCAGGCTCTCGAATAAAAGCCTCAGCGTGCTGTTACTGTGCACAGGGTGTACATTAGTAGTTAGGTAAATGCACAACAGACAGATCTTCCCACACTTTCAATGTCCTTAAGCTGCTGCTTGATGTGTAATGTACATATGAAAGGCAAATGTAGGAGATCACGGATTGCATTAGCACATCCTTGGGAAGTTTCTATGCTCTCCTTCATAATCTCTCCTTATTAAAAAAAGAACAATTAACGCAAAAAATCACAGTAAGAGAAAGAGCCCCCTGTGCAAAGCCATGTTGCAGCCATGACTACAAGAGCTGCTGAAATCCCTTCAGGATGTTTACTGCTTCGTCAGCACAGGAAAGGAGCAGGCAGTCCCATGCACCTCCAGGATCCATGTGTACACCCTGGCTCACTGCAGCCAGGACTGAACCCCCCATAAACAGAGAACTCACTTCTCATCATTTGCAAATTTAATTCCACTCGTTGTGATAGGGTCAAGGAAGAACCAGTCAAACCCAGGGAAGTATCTGTATATCTGAGAAAAAGAGTCGGTGTTAGTGGCAGGCCTGAACAGGACAATTACACAGACGGCCTCTTCCCCTCCCTCCTCTTACAGTCCGTTCTAGTCCCAACTTCTGCCCTTCTTTGCCAGCCTCCGCATACAACCTGGGTACTGCTTATAGCACCAAAACACCCTCATGGTCCCAGGTCTTCCTAGCAGCCACTCGGACATGTGGCTCTGCTCCTGATTCTCATGGCTAGCACTGCTGCCACGTCGGGCACGCAGGTAGCTCAGCCGCATCTTGACCAGAAGCTGTCACCTAGGGGCACAGCTACAAGCTGTTAGCACGAGAACCGCTGTGTACTTGCCACAGAAAAGGGGTGACTTCGCGCCTCCTCACGTATGTTGGTGAAGGGAGATTCCAGTATCAGGGCATCCGGAGGTGTTTCTGAAAAGCCAGAGGCAACGTGAAGCGCGATGGGGCAGACGGCCAACGTGGCTGGGGTCTAGCACAAGACAGCGCCCATCGCCACCGCGCGCCGAAGGCGACAGCACTGTGACTGCAAAGCTGGGACCGAAGCACATTTGCCCTCCACACTTACCTCTCTCACAGAGGCGCCTCACTAGGTTCGTTGCAACCCTGGAAAGAAGAACAACAGGTTTTTATCTGGTGCAGATCCTTTGCAAAGCACCAAAACCTGGCACCTGCTGATTTCCAAAGATGTGCAACTTGACCAGCGCCCTTGTCCCAACATTCAGTGTTTTTCAGGAGTTGCTACGTCCCCCCAGGATCGGACACTTACCCCGTGCCCAGGGAGTGCCCCCAGATATAGACAGGGTTGTCGCCGCTTCTTGCTTTTATCCAGTCAAAGACGTGCAGGGCATCGTAGGTCATTCCCCTCTCGGACGGGCTACCTATGGAGTCGCCCCAGCCTGAAACACAAACAGTCCCTATAAGAGTTGAACGTGTGGCCCAGCAAAACCAGCCAGCTTTTTTGCTGAGGACCAAACAACCCGTATTCTTTCTGCTATCTAATGAGCATCCGCAGAAGTTATTGCCAGCACGACTGGAGAAAAAAAAAAAAAAACCTGCAAGGCAAGCTCCTACAAAGAAACTTTTCTTGAATTCTTAATAAAGATGAGAAGGGGGAAATTGCTTTCCTGAACGGAACTGAACTGCAGTCATGGTTTAAATATTAAGAACAACAACAACAAAAAAAAAAACAGCTGCAGACACTAAGGGAGCAGAGATGCAAAATGATCCCAGCTTCTGCTGAGGATGGTAGCAATGAGGTACCACCTGCCTCAGCTAGGCAAAAACTGGGCAAAGCCTCCGTCTGTCAAAAAGAAACTGAACCCCCTCACCTCTTCCCACAGCAGCAGCTAAAGGCCAAGTGCCTCCAGATACAACGGTAAGGGCAGTGAAGGTGGATAGCAACAGAAAAAATAGGGAAGACCTCAAAGCTATGCCAATGCTATGCAGAACAAAGCATGGGTCCTGGAAAGAAAGCATCTTTTAAGCCCTTCAAAGCCCCATGAGGAAAAAGACGACCCAACTACATCCAATTAGCTGGCAGCAAGTGTTTATAAAGCAACGGTCTGCCAGAGGTCAAAGCACTTGCTTCTACAGAAAGAGAGCACTAAAAGGTTTTCATAATAATAATAATAACAACAACAAAAAAATCCTCCAACCCACACTGCACTCTACATACCTCGATAATCAAATGTGACTACATGGTAACCAAGGGAGCTGAGAACCTGCAGGGGAGAGAAAGATGCAGAAACCTATGACAAACCTGTCCACAGCAGGCACGCGCTTGCCTCAAGCCAAGATGCAGAGACCCAATTTAAATTACATTTATATTACCAGTCCAGCATAGCAAAGCAGCAGCTTTCAACTTTTCGCTACTACGCACGTCAGACTGACAGTTTTACTCTGTTTTTTCCCTGGTCCTCAAGCCAGACTACCCTAGATGCCAACATTACATTGAAGGGAGATTCACCCCTCTGCAGTTTTGCCTTTAAGATTTGTGCATTTCTTGTGTCCTTTTCCCATACGCATTCCTTCAGGTTTTCCACTGAAACAGTACAACAGGGGCTTCACTTAGATTGTTGAAGTTTGCAGCTGGACACTACCCAGGTGAATATACAAATGCATGAATATCAGGCTTATGTATAGGAGGCTGTTTCAGGTCCCAAAGGCTTAAATGTATGCACTGGAAACACACAATTTCTTTAAGATTTATGTCACAATCGATGGGAACCCTAACAAAACCCTAACAACAATAAAAAAGAACGGATGTAAAAATACCCACGTTACACCAACTTGTTTGCAAAAAGCCTTAGTAAAAATGATTATGTTATTCCAAGGTACCATTGCATGGTAAAAATCCAATAGATCTACAGCTAAAAAAGTCAAAAAGATTGAAGTGTTTTTGCTCTCATGGATTCAGAATGACCTCAGAATGATTAAAAAAGAAATTAGTATTACATTGTACTTTATTTTCAAATGAACCAAAGGAGACACACCTGATGTAATACCACAAATTTATTTTTAGCATAACTGAAATATTTGCAGCTCAAGTTGTTATTGCTAGCTCAGATCTCATTAGCTCAGATGACTGAAAGGGAGGACATACAGGAAAGAGAAAGGATTAGGTAAACTGTGATTCCCAAGTCCTTGGCTGGAGGACTACAATGGATATGGTTTCCTGCTTCTCAGTCTAGGGCCATTTTTCCCCAGATTTCTGGCACCTCTGCACCATATGCTCTCCTCAGTGACCTGCACCTCCCGTGTTACACACCAGGTTAGCTCACACAGTGCTTTTCACATACGTTGGACGATGCATATATATTTAAGAAGCTTTTCTTCACACTCAAGCAGGACTTGCTGTGTTTCCATTTGCGCCCCTCATCCTGTCACTGGGCACCCCAGGTTGCACCACGTGCACCCACACATGTGAGCTCAGCCTTTGGGAACGCGCTTTTGCCCAGACAAAATCTGAAACGATTCTCTGCTTGCCTTAGGCAGCACAAAACACAGTGTGGCGTATGCTCATCCCCAGAAAAATGCCTAACCAGGTCACCATATATATGACATTCACCTCAACTGTCAGATGCCAACTTCCTGCGCTTTAGCAGCTCCTTAGTTCTGAGGGGAAAAGAAACAGCCACCTACTTCCCTGGGGGTGCCAAACACTGCTGCCTAAGTGACCTGAATTGAAAAGACTTTGCTGCAGGAGATCTTGCATAAGAAGTCGCATTGCAATAAAGCTTTTCAAGTGTCAACACTGACACAAGTTATAAGGAGAAAGGCAGGGAAGGGCATGATGCGAGATACTAACTACTCACAGCCCCCTTTTCCTCTGCCTTGTCTTCAGACATGCAGAGAGGAGGCACAAAGCCTGTTGGCAGTGAGCAGCCACGGGCAGCCTAAAATCTGCACATTTCAGAAGCCTTCATGCAGCTTCTTGGACAGCACACGCAGCTACTTACCTTGTAAAGTTCCACACGGTGATCTCCTCCTCTGGCAAAAGTGATTCGTGAAGAGAGGACGAAGAAGAAAAAAAAAATTAAATTTCCTAAGACAGACTTTCCCATTGCCCCACATCTCTGGTTAAACACAAATACGCCAGATAATCACTGTAAGTCCTATCTGCCATTTTCTTCCCCGTTACTCCCCATTTGCCCTCTTAAACAGGAAAATAGAAGACAAAAAAGACCTATCTAATTCCATCCAAACGACTTTCAATATAATCTTACCATAGAATCATAGAATCCTTAAGGTTGGAAGGGACCTTTACAAATCACCTAGTCCAACCCCCCTGCACACACAGGAGCACGTGGCACAGGACTGCATCCAAGCGGGTCCTCCCTTGAGGTACTTATAGACACTGCTCAGGTCCCCTCTCAGCCTTCTCTTCTCCAGGCTGAACAGGCCCAGCTCCCTCAGCCTCTCCTCATAGGGCAGATGTTCCAGGGCCCTGATCATCCTTGTAACCCTGCGCTGGACTCTCTCCACTAGCTCCGCACCCCTCTTGAACAAGGGAGTCCAGAACCAGACACAGTACTCCAGATAAAAGATTCATCCCTATAAATCTTTTCTCATTGTTGGTAAAAATGCCTTTTTCAATGAATCTGCCTTTACCAAAGCCTACAACACACACCCAGCAGTCTGTCCCTGTAGGCTTTGAAGCCCCTGTGCTGCTGCCAGCAGCGCTGCTGCAGCAGGCAACTCTCTGAGGTGAGATGCCTTCACCATCAACCTGTCTTCTCACCTGAGCACGGGGATGAAAAGCATGTACACGTGCAAAAGGCTGAACAGAGACAACTGGTCAGAGTTGAAGATTCAGTGTTCATGTCTTTTTCTCTATAAATTGAAATTTAGATGCCATATGACGTAGCTAATCCACACTCAAGCTTTATTCTAGTACTGCAAAACACCTCTGGACTGCTTAAACACTTGGTCAGCTATATGCAGCGTGTGAGAGAGCCAGAAGATAAAAGTAATCAATACAGAAGTAATAAAAGTGCTGGTCCCAATCTACCACCATCACAACTGCCAAATAGCCTCCATTAGTATCATTTGCTCCACTCAGTAAAGGCAAGAAAAATAAACTAAGCAGTATTTGAAAAATAATGCAACCATTCAATTCAACCTTGCAATACACCAGCACAAGACAACAAGGCCAGGCTCCAAAGCCCAGTCTGCCTGTGCATTTCCTGACTCACAGCGTGTATCTCCCAGGTTATGTCTGTTGTACCGAAGAACATGGCTAAGGCAAGAATTTAGGTGAAAAGGGGTGAAGTTCCTGTGATGTAAACGCTAGTGAATGTTCACTATCAGCAGAGGTGAAACACAGCCTGTTTGCCTTACATCAGAGACTGTAGCACAGAAAGGATGTGGGAGCATTTCAGCAGGGTATTCAAGAGGATATCTCCTTCAAAAGAACTCAGCAACAGCACTCACATCTCCGACAGGATGTGACAGTAAGAACATGATTTGGGGAAACATCCAGTTTTTACACTGTGCTCGTTGTTTCTACTGTCTGCAAACAAAATATAGGGAAGCTGTTCCTCTTGTAGACAGAAGCCATGTATGTACACAAAATAAAACAAATCCAGCACACCTCCCACTTTCTTTCTGATTTTCCTTCTGATTTGGCATTCTCAAAATGTCTTAACTACTAAAATAAGCTCATGAAAGTGAACAGAAAGTTTATTCAATGCACGTAAACCACGCAAGGAAGCACTACCACCTTCCCACATCTTGATTTAGAGACCGTTATAATGAAAAGAGGTATCTCCCTACTTGACCCAGTTAGTGTCACAGCCTCCTGTCACTCCAGCAGACAGGAAACACAGGAGATAGAGAAAATATAGCAGTAATACATTAGCAAACCCCAGAGCTCTGGTAACTGCAATAAATCTATTTCCACATTCACTGAATGGAGTTTCAGTTTCTTAAAACATACTTTTCTCTTAAAAGACAGGAGGAACACCAAGCTGCTTTCAGGTTATTTTATTGGTGTGCTGAAGCTGTGGCAGGCCAAAAAAAGACAGCCTATAACACAGGCCTCGCTGTTTGTGCCTCACCTTGTTCCTGCATTGCCATGCAAGTAAAGGACTACGGGGTGGCTGGAACCCAGAGCATCTTCAAACCACACTTGGTCCTTCCCATGGGCATTCTTCCATAAGGCTGCAGGGACTGTGTGCCTAGATACAGAAATAAAAATAACTGTATTGCCCTGTTGTTGATCAGAGTTTTCCCCACAAATACTGTTTTTCTGGTCAGCTTAGCAGGTCCTTAGTTTTGCGCCACTTAGTTTTGTGTCACATTTGTGACACCCAGAATGACAAAGCTCACGCACATACACTCCTAGGTCCAGCCAGGTCAGCAGATGTTTGGAAAGATCCCCCAAGCCAGTTGTTTTTGACAGGATGTTTGGTGAGTAGGATGCATGGCTGACTGTAGAAGTTTGAGGAAAATAAGTGATGATAGCCTCGGGCATTTTATTTTCCTGAAGTACTTGTATGGCTTTCTGCTAGAAAGATGACAAACCCCATCTACCACAGCACCTTTCTCCCAGATTTAAAGTTCATAGGACAAATCACCACTGGGAGGAATGGGTGTGCAAAGGCTACCTGGGTGCATGCAGCCAGTAGACACGGAGTTTGAGGAGGACAAAATCCCCCATAGCCATGGGGCTCACAGGTTCACTAAATGATCTGCCTCAAAAAATTTGCATGCTCAAACAGGACAGAAGAAACTGATGACTTTGTTACAGAAGTACAGTGAACAGAAAACCCAACAGTGCCCTGTCAAGGCAGGCTCCAGCTTTTATAAAAACCTCTCTAATAAGCATGAAGACAAGTGACATGAACTCTGAATTGCCACCAAAAGCAGGAAGACCTGTTTTGGTAAAGGTATTCAGTGTATGTGTGCTGAGAAAGCAAAATTATATATATATGTGTGTGTGTGTGTGTGTGTGTGTGTATATATATATATGTATATGTACATATATGTATGTATATATACACATACATACATATATACATGTATATGTATATATATATATACACACACACACACACACACACACACAGACTCTAAATAAATAAAGATTTGCAATCTAAAATTACTCAACAGCTTAGCAGATAAAATTGCCAAAGTGAAAATATGATTTACTAGTCTAGACAGGAAAGACTGAAGTTTCAACTTCTAAAAAGTCCTTCCGTGAAATTCACTTATAGGGAAGAACTGTTTTTATATTGCAGGCTACCCTGCCCCATTCAAAAGGTCACATACCCTCAAGTCAAGACAAGATTGAAAAACTCCACAGATTTACTGAAAACAGACAGCTATGAGCAACAGCAAACTCCAAATCACACTGCTCACACATCTAACTGCACTGGCTTTATTAAGGAACAGCCTCTTTCTCTCCACACCTGACAGGCTGTCTAACTTTTTTTTTTTTCTCCATTTGTTTGATCTAAAGGCATGATCTTTTTAGCAACCAAGGGCAACAACTGTTGCCGTGCCAAACTATGATGTTTTTCTGAACGTACAGATTTTCCAATCGTGTTTATGTGCCAGTGAGTTGAGTTCAAGCAAGCTCCACAGATCTGCATACCTGTCAACATCAACTGTGTCACTTGCTAGACAAAAATAGTCATCCACAAACAAGAGCAAGCAATGACTGCCACCATGCGTGACCATGCAAGAGCTGATATGCAGGCAACAGTGAGAGCAAAAAGGATGACTAAAGATGCACAGCACATGCTGCATAGAACAGGTTTCGTTACCAGACTCCAACAGTTACATCCTCCTCTGGCTGCAGGTAATAGTTACAGGTGTGGTTTAAACCTTGATCCTGTGGTCTTTTCAAGTCAATGAAATATGGGACCCTCACTGGAAAAAACACAGATACACACAAAGAAAAAAACAGAAGATTAAAATGTTTTAATTTCTACTTTTATTTCCTTAAAAAACAGCTTTACTAAGGCACTGAAAAGCTCTACAAACTGCTCTGCTCTACTGGAAAGATCTTTCTGTGGGAAAATATAAACAGGCAACAGCTAGGACTTGAATATAAACCTCAAAGAAAGTGAGGTAAGAAAGCAGAAGCAACCAACTCCAAAACAGGGAGCAGGCTAAAGTTTTTTGTAACACAAATTTAACCCTCTCTGCCTTGTCTGCTTTGTACAGCTTCCCAATGCCAGTCAGTCACTCCTGCTGCATTAGTGGGACAGATTCATTGATTCAGCAAACTTTTTGCATCAGAGCTGCAAGTCAACTTAGCGATGTGACAAAGTCATCTGGGACAAAGAGTACTGCCCAGAGGTGTGTTTCAAGATGACAAGTGGTTTTACAGCCTCTGTAATACTACAGTTTAAAGTAAATACTACATTACAGAAGCAGACAGCACATTGCTGTTGGCATGTAAGAGTAAGATAAACTGTCAAATACTGCCCTCCTCAGCCTTCAAGGAAGAGATGCAGCTTGTTATCCCACTGTCTGGAGACTCTCACATAACTGGCCACCTTCTAGACATCACAGCATTTAAAAGAGTTCATATTACGCCAGAAATATCAGCTCTTTGGGAACAGACCCCAGAAAACAAGGTGAGTCCAGCTCTTCCACTCTTCCAAATGTTTTATTTTCCCAACCTATGCAACACACTGTTGCTCATCGCTTGTTACATGCGACGGCTGACACACGAGCAGCATCAGGAAAGACAAACACCTGCTTTAAGCTCTCAGCATCTTGTTTCCCATGGCTTGGCTCACAAGCCATGTCTTACAGATACTGAGCAACATGTTAAATGAAGGCTTAATCCAAGTGCCTGTTTTCCATTCACCGCTGCCATGCTGCTTTTCTAGGCAGTCTCTAGCACATGCAAGTAACGGGAGAGATGCTAGACACCTATTGAGAGGATTATGCAGTTTTAACGGCTCTGCTTTCCCACTTATTTAGGCTTTTCCCATAAAACAGAGGTCCACCGCAGCCTTAACAATTCAAGGATGAGATTTTCCAAAACTTCATTGTAGAATGGGAGTAAGGCTCAGAAGACAAGTTTAGACTGCAAAGTGGCCCTCATATACTCGGGTTCCCTCATTTCACACCCTGTGGATGTCCAGATCTCCTTGGGAGCCGGCCACCCCCTCAGCCAGTACACATCAACCACAGGGATGTTCTGACCCAGTATAAATGCGAAACAGGAAACCACCAAAAGTGACTCTGAGGGGGCCACTTGGGATTTTCTTCTGTTCCAGACAAAACAGTCTCCTAAAATGTTTTCAGGTGAAGAACTACTGCCTGGAAAAACAGCACACTGGATTTAGTTTCACCTGCTTGCTCCCTTCACACATCTTTGTTAAACCCTTCAGGAAAAAAATGCATTTGACACATTGCACAGCTTTCTGAAGGAAACCCTTTCAACTGAAAGTTACCTGAAGTTTAAGCACTTTATTTAGATCAAGGCCATACAACAAAAGCTACCTGGGCCACAGAAAATGCTATGCAGCCTGTTACCTGGGGAACGTGCAGCCCGTGAAAGCTTCATTCTTCAAAAGAAGGGAAAAGAGCCACAGCGAATGACAGATTAAAACACTCCTCCCTTCACCCATTCGGACAGGTTCAAGCACTTACCGAAGTTTAGGAAGACCAGCTTTGCCTGGATAGCAGGGCAGAGCTTTACTAGAAACGGAATGGCTATGTACACCCCCAGCAACCAGATGAGCAACCTTCGCAGTCGGAACCAGAAACCGTAACGCCTGTGGAAAAGGGGGAAAAAAAAAAAATCTCAGCACAGTGGGAGTTTTAGGAAGCAATTTGCACAATGCTTGGTGCATGTGAAAACTTGTCATTTCATTTATTCTTAAAAACAAACAAACAAGCAAAACCAAAAAAAAATATTTTTCAAACTGTTTATGTAGTCTCAGCTGTTTGAGAGAACGGGAAACAACGAAACCGCCAGCTGATGATATGCAGCTTAGAAAAAGGGAACAGAAACTCTCCAGTGATATTTTAAAAATACTTTGTAACAGTTCTTTTTTTTTTTTTCTGCTGATTTTACAGATTTCAGGATCTCTGGGAAAATGCATCATAAAATGAAGACCTAAGCTTTGTCTCCAAAACCAAGTCTGATAACATTTCCCATTTAAATCACTGTAATGGAGATTTTAAGTTAGACCTTCATAAATTTTGATGAACTGCTTGTAATGAGCCTGCCTTACCTAGGCTGATAAAAATCACACAGGACTTCACATAGAGACTGCAGAAGAGGTTATACCTTGTCCAACTAAAAGGATTCCTACCTTTCAATGCCTTGGAAAGCAAGTCTAAGAAACAAAACACCAAAAGATTTCTTATCTGTGGCGTCATTTGCTAGCAGTCCGGACCGAGTTTGCCACAATTCTTCCAAAACTTTATTTCTGTGTTCTCCTAAGTATTTTGACTGGGAAGAGTAAGCTATGAAAAGTGATTAAAGTATCACACAGCAGAAGCTAAGTAACTTCTCTCAAAATATATGTTATTGCTGCAGAATTACATACACACACACACAAGCCAGCCATGCTCTATGTCAGCGGACAACCAGTTCTCTGCAGGTGGAATCGCTGGCAGCTGAGAGCAGAGAGGGGTTTTTCCGAGAAACAGGAAATCAATCATCTCCTATTTGGTGATTTTGGGTACCAGCACATTTAACTTGCTCCAAGGCATCACTTAAGAATTCTTGACCACTGTCAGCTACTGCAAAGAATCAAATAGAGGGCTTGCAGATGGTCCCTGTAAGCATTTCTCCAAGAAATACCAGTGCACTGCCAGAGATGGGATAGAAAGAGTACTAAATAGATAGAGTAGAATAGATAGATAGAAAGAGTACTAAAATACCAGCTCCAGCCGCAATGAGCCCAAAGCTGAAAGGTTCAACAGACTTTAATGCTTATGGTTTGTCCCTGCACCAAAAGTCCTGATTCCCTGAGGAAAGCAGAGACAAGGGATTGTCAGCGAAACAGTGCAAAACTGGGTGTTTTGGAAGAAAGGTAGTGAGTATCAAAGCCTTAGAGCAACATGCTTCTGCCTCCACAGACTGCAGCTTGGACACAGAGCTCTCAGGTGTCCAGGCATCCTGGAGAGGAGCCTGTCGGACATATCCACCCCATGTTGAGGGCCTTGCAAGCCCTGGTGGGGAAAGCAATCTGCAGCAAAATAGTGCAAGGTCAGCCAAGCATGCCTGCCCACCCCTAGGTGGGCAAAAAACAGGGTTTGGCAAAACATACACAAAGCTACACTGGGGCTAACCACAGCTGTAGCACTCTCCTGTCTCAAATTCAAGCCAGCTACCCACAAGCACCCACACACTTGCACAGAACACGCATTTTTGTGATGAGCATCAGGTTGGCAGAAGAGTAGGGCAGGAGGGATCACTGGAGGGCAGCTCACACTCAGCGGCTGACCTCTCAGCACATATTTTAGCTTTCTCCAATAAGAAAGTGCCTTTTCCTAAAATCTCCTTTTCCTCTTGTTTGGCTGGTTACTCAGAGCCTGCTCGTGCCCTCCCACCTCTGCCCTCACCACCTGCGATGGCTCTGCACTACAAAGGGGCAACGGTGGCTTCTAGCAAGCTCTTGTAGGGCCCAGTGCACCCACGCAGAGAACTTGTACACGAGACAGGAATTTAGCCCTACAGTCGGGCATCAAGGCTATCAGACAGAAATAAACCTTTCAAACTCTTCAGAACATCACCAGGATCCGCTCTGACACCTCTAGGCACAATCAGAGCTCATCAAAACAAAGGTCTGGAGAATATCCAGGTGGCAAAACACTTAGCATGACTTGGACACAAATTTACGAAAGTCAGGAGCAGAAATTGCTGATGAAGGCAATGTTCTCCAAGCAACGTCATCAGACCTTAGGAATGATTTTAGTTTCCTCTCTCTTCAGAGGACTCAATTGAAACACCCCTCCCTTAAGGTATGCCAAATGCTCACCAGCAACGTGCCATTTACACCTCATCGCCACAGAGATATCTGGTTAAAATGCAACCAGGACAGACTCTTGATCCATCAATAACCATCTCCTCTTCTGCTGACAAATCCAAGAAAATTTTACTTCTGCACTTTGGTGAGTTATCAGGTAAACCTTTAGTGAGCAATTTAACTAAATGAAATTCCTCTTGCTCTGCAGAAGAAAATCAATCCCATGAAATAAATGTCCTGCACAGGATTTTTTTCTCTGGTGTGTTCACACAAAAGCAACGAGACACTTTCCACACTCCGCCCACCACCCGCATCGGTTCAAAACAATCACTCCAGCCAGTGGGAACACAACAATATGTACTGTGATTCTGAACAGCTGAGCAACCAACCTCTCCCTTTGGCAATAAGATCCATTTAAACAACATCAGTTCACTGCAAAAGAACTCGGAAGTCAAAAGCAAATGCTCCAAACTCATCTTGCTACATCTGGGGTTGAGCAACCATCTACGAAGGTCATAAGCAAAGTCTAGCGCTGGAAACAAGACAAATACAATGGCATTGCACTTGTTCTCACAAGCCTTTTTCATAAAACAAAACAACACAAAAAACACACAGACTCAGGTTGTCTTGAATCTGCATCTTTAGAGTTCTCTCTTTATTTTAATTCCTAGAAATCTTCGCTTTTTGAAAGACCTGAAAAACGAGAAAATTAATAGTCTACCAGATTCATTTGTTGCTGCTTAGTAATAGTAATTAAAAAAATAATAAAACACTTCCTTATACTCTTGAACTTTGGCACTTTCTGAGAAAATATTCCACTGCTGCACTTAGCCCCTTTCAAAAACTGAACTGCAGTTTCGCCACTCTTGCACCCATTTCTATGGGTGGTGGAAGTTTTGAAGGCTTTAAACTCCTGGAAAACAAACAAACAAACAAGAAAGAATGAAGATATGACATTGTGAACAAGAATGCAGAACATATGTTGAAAAATGGCATAACAATTTGTCAAACACCACCCATTCCCACAAACTGTTTAACCAGAGGCTCTGAACAAGGCCACAAACACAAACACACATGCACAAAAAACCCTAAACCTGCAATTCACTGGCATATTATATTGCCATTTCCTTTGCACTAGAGACAACCAGCTAGCAAGTGAAAGGCAAGCTGAAACTGAAGTCAGGCGGAGAATAAATTGTTCCTGCCACATGCTAAGTGTGTGAAGGACATGGTACACTGTAAGGAATGTTACTGACCTTGCAGAAGGCAACTAAACATTTCAGCTATTAAGATCTAGGAAAGGTTGGTCCTGTTTGCTGACTGCCTCTGTTACAAGTGTAAACCTAACTCCATACAAAACCAAGCAATAAAAGCGAGAGTTGGTAGACTGGTTACAGTGAAGCATCAGCCAGTTAAACAGAGGAAAATTTCCATTCCCTGTCATCAAAGGTACTGGAGATGCAGCAGGCAAATTTGTGTCTGATCCAATAGCTTTTGTCACTACAGCATCCAAGATGCCACCCATGCATCCTAAATATTGGCCTTAAAACATCAGGATGGAGCAAGCCTTTCATCTTCAAAGGCCTGGCATGCAAAAGGCTACCTGCCCACCTCGTCCACGGACTGTGCTCCAGGCTCCAGCAGCCTTCTTCGTTTGATTTTATCCAGAAGCAAACTGCTAGGATATTCTGCTCTTTCTCTTTTAATTAAAAGACAAATGATCAGGAATAATGGCCTTAATAAAGCAATGGAAAGACAAGTAGTTTAAAATCCGCAGGTTTTCATAAAAGAAAAGGAAGGATTTTTTTTCTTTTTAAGAATGCTTTCAAATGCACATGATCCTTTTTTAATTCCTCAGAGTATAAGTGATACCTTAAACAGAGACATCACCAGCAGCGACAGAAGGCAAAGGTGCCCCAATAGAGACAACAGCTCAAATGAGCCTTGACCAAGTGTTAGCCCAGCCAAAAAAAGAAGTTAGCGTTTGGCAACTTCATGTTGTTCCAACCACAAGAAAATATCCCCAGCTACTATAATTTCTCTTTCCCATTATTGTGGTGTATTAAAAAAAAAAAGGTATTTTTTTTCTACTAAACTGTATGTTGTGTTTCTAAAGCACAGCAGGAAGCCATGATAAGCAGTAACTTATTTCTCTGTTTGCAGCAGAATCACAAAGACTAAGCAAAAGCTGTGTACACAGCTCTGGGGAAATGTGGTACCAGCAAACAGAAACCAGAATAATTTCTCTATATGCTAAGTAGCATTTTCTGTAACCCCTTATTGTCATTAAGCATGTCCCATGCAGCACCCTATGCCTATGACATTGGCTGCATTAGCCCTAATGGATTTCTATTATCCTAAGAAAAAAAAAAAATCCTCCCACATCACATCTAAATCAGAAAAGTTAACTAAATTCATTTGCTAAGTTCTATTTGAGTAAACCACAGCATCTATCCCATTTTCCCTTCTCGCCCATACCTATGTGCAGCCTGATATTGTTGCCACACATTCACGTGGCCACAAAAAGGAGTTCATCATGACAAAGGCATGAACTGCACCTTAGCAAATGCATATCATGAAACATCAGCTTTTCACATCACGGAGCTTCTCAAGTGGGTAGTAGGTTTTATCAGCCATGGTCCCAATGCCCATGCCAAGAAGTCATCACCTCCATCTTTGCTTTTGGAAGTGGCTTGCAGCGACCACGCACTGTGGCCTAAAACATACTCATCTTCAGCACCATCCTTTCCCTATGATGCCTCTGTTCACGGCAAACTTTCCACTTAATCCTAAGG